TGCAACTTTGTAATATAACTTGAAGTCCAGAATTGTGATGCCTCCAGTTCTGCTTTTCTTTCTCAAGATGCTTTGGCTACTGGGGATCTTTTGTGGTTCCATACAAATTTTAGGATTGTTTGTTTTAGTTCTGTGAAAAATACTGTTGGTATTTTGATAGGGATTGCATTAAATGTGTAGATTGCTTTGGGCAGTGCAGACATTTTAACAGTATTTGTTCTTCCAATCCATGAGTGTTGATGTCTTTCCATTTCTTTGTGTCATCTTCAGTTTCTGTAATCAGTGTTTTATAGTTTTCAGAGTACAGGTCTTTCACCTTTTTGGTTAGGTATATTCCTAGGTATCTTATTATTTTGGGTGCAATTGTAAATGGGATTGTTTTCCTAATTTCTCTTTCTGCTGCTTCATTATTGGTGTATAGAAATGCAGCAGATTTCTGTACATTGATTTTATATCCTATGACTTTACTGAATTTGTTTACCAGTTCTAGCAGTTTTTTTAGCAGAAGCTTTAGGGTTTTCTATATATAGTATCATGTCATCTGCAAATAGTGACAGTTTTACTTCTTCCTTACCAACTTCAAAGACTTATATTTCTTTTTGCTGTCTGATTGCTGTGGCTAAGACTTCCAGTACTATGTTGAATAAAAGTCATGAGAGTGGACATCCTGGTCTTGTTCCTGACCTTAGTGAAAAAGCTGTTTTTCCCCATTAAGGATGATGTTAGCTATGGGTTTTTCATAAATGGCCTTTATTATGTTGAAGTATGTTCCCTCTAAACCTACTTTGTTGAGGTTTTTTTTTTTTTTCTTAAGATTTTTATTTATTTATGTGTCAGAGAGAGAGAGAAGGAATACAAGCAGGGGGAACGGCAGGCAGAGGGAGAAACAGGCTCCCTGCTGAGCAAGGAGCCCAATGCAGGACTCGGTCCCAGGACCCTGGGATCATGACCTGAGCTGAAGGTAGATGCTTAACTGACTGAGCCACCCAAGTGTCCTGTTGAAGTTTTTTTTTTTTTTTTTTTTAATGAATGGATGTTGTACTTTGTCAAATGCTTTTTCTGTATCTATTGAAATGATCATATAGTTTTTATCTTTTCTCTTGTTGATATGATGTATCATCTCGTGTAGATTGATTTGCAAGTATTGAACCACCTTTGCAACCCAGGAATAAATCCCACTTGATCATGGTGAATGGTTTTTTTTAATGTATTGTTGAATTCAGTTTGCTAGTATTTTATTGGGAACTTTTGCATGTATGTTCATTAGGGATTGGCCTGTACTCTTTTTTTGTGTGTGTGGTGTCTATCTGGTTTTGGTATCAGGGTAATGCTGGCCTCATAGAATGACTTTGGAAGTTTTCCTTCCTTTTCTATTTTTTGGAATAGTTTCAGAAGAATAGGTAGTATTTCTTCTTTAACTGTTTGGTAGAATTCACCTGTGAAGCCATCTGGTCCTGGACTTTTGTTTGTTGGGAGTTTTTGGTTTTTTTTTAAGATTTTATTTATTTGACAGAGAGAGCTATAGCGAGAGAGGGAACTCAAGCAGAAAGAGTGGGAGAGGGAGAAGCAGGCTTCCCGCTGAGCAGGGAGCCTGATGCGGGGCTCAATCCCAGGACCCTGAGATCATGACCTGAGCTGAAGGCAGACGCTTAATGACTGAGCCACCCAGGCGCCCCTTGTTGGGAGTTTTTTGATCATGGATTCAATTTCTTTGCTGGTTATCAGTCTGTTCAAATTTTCTATTTCCTCCTATTTCAGTTTTGGTAGTTATCCATTTCTAGGAATTTATCCATTTCTTCTAGGTTGTCCAATTTGTTGATATATAGTTTTTCTTTTCTTTTCTTTTTTTTTTTTAGATTTCATTTATTTGAGAGAGCACAAGCAGGGGGAGTGGCAGGTAGAGCAGGCAGAGGGAGGAGCAGGCTCCCCTCTGAGCAAGGAGCCAGATGCGGGACTCGATCCCAGGACCCCCGGGATCATGACCCAAGCCGAAGGCAGTTGCCTAACTGACTGAGCCACCCAGGCATCCCATAGTTTTTCGTAATATTCTCTTATGGTTGTATTTCTGTGGTGTTGGTTGTCATTTTTCTCTCTCATCTGTGATTTTATTTGCTTGAGTCCTTTCTCTTTTTTTCATGATAAGTCTGGTTAGAGGTTTATGAATTTTTAAAAATTTTTTCCCCAAAGAACTAGCTCCTGGTTTTATTGATCTGTTCTTTTTTTTTAGTTTTTACATCATTTATTTCTGCTCTAATCTTTATTATTTCATTCCTTCTGCTAGTTTTTGGTTTTGTTTGTTGTTCTTTTTCTAGCTCCTTTAGGTGTAAGTTTCGGTTGTTTATTTGAGATTTTTTCTTTCTTGAGGTAGGCCTGTATAGCAATATATCAACTTCCCTCTTATAACCACTTTTGCTGCATCCCAGAGGTTTTGGACTGTTGTGTTTTCATTTTCACTTGTTTCCATGTACTTTTTGATTTCTTCTTTTATTTCCTGGTTGACCCATTCATTGTTTAGTAGTATGCTTTAACTTTATGTATTTGTGGTCTTTTCAGTTTTTTTCCTGTGGCTGATTTCTAGTTTCATAGCATTTTGGTCAGAAAAGACACGTGGTATGACTTCGATCTTCTTGAATTTGTTGAGTTGTTTTGTTTTGTGAGCTAATATGTGATCTATCCTGGAGAATGTTCCATGTGCACTTGAAAAGAATGTGTATTCTTCTGGTTTAGGATGGAATGTTCTGATTATATCTACTAAGTCCTTCTGGTTTAGTGTGTCCTTTAAAGCCACTGTTTCCTTGTTGATGTTCTGTTTGAATGATCTTTCCATCAATGTAAGGGGGTGTTAAAGTCCCCTACTATGATTATATTATCTATTCATTCTTTCATGTTTGTTATTAACTGTTCTATGTATCTGGATGCTTCTGTATTGGGTGCATTAATATATATAATTGTTATATGCTCTTTTGGATTGTTCCCATTATTATTACATAGTGTCCTTTTTGTCTCTTGTTACAGCTGTGTTTCAAAGTCTATTTTGTCCCTTGTAACTGTTGCTACTCTGGCTTTCTTTTGCCCATTGTCCACTATTTTAAAACTCTTTTTTATATGTTTTTTCCACATTTTTTTTTTAAGTTGTCTAAAGTACTAGGGCAAGTCCCATATCAGTTACTCTTTCATAGGCGGAAGCAGAAGTCCATCCTGCCTTTGGTTTTTTTGTTTTGTGTTGTATATTTCTTTTTTCTTTTTTGCTTTTGGTTAGTTCTGTGTTTTAATACTGTGTTTCTGACACGACTTTCACTTTTCCCTTACAATACAAACTTCATTCACCCTGTTTTACACTCACACTTAAAAAAGAAGTTAGAAGTGCAGAAACTAGTTTTAGTCATTTGGACATAAGCACAGTGGTGACTGAAAATATAGACTTTCAAAAAGACTTTCCCCCAAAGTGCATACCTTTGAAAGAGAAAAAAACTGTAGTTGGATACAGTAGCTCTTTGTATAACTTAAAAAACTGTAGCTGGATACAGTAGCTCTTTGTATAACTTAACCAGCTTACAAAGCTATTTTCATTTATAGAGTTGTATTGTCTGTACTGTTACCAGTTATTTCTAAGCACAAAATGTTTTAGCAATCTATATTAGCAAGCAGAGTAAACATGCTTTGAAAGGCTCCAAATGCAAATGTAAGCTAATACTCCAAACGTTTCTATTCTGCACAAGGGCACATGGCCTCTAGAGTTCCATTCCCTAGCTTGCTCTCCCTTCCCTGGGCTTATACTATGGAAGACTTTTTCAGATAGGGTTGAGGGGCTCCATTTGTCATTCTGTCTTTCGTATGGGATTCTGCCTAAGGTAATTTGGCATCTCCTGTCCCATTTCTGTTGATATTTCCTACTTACAGTGGAAAGGCAGTACAGATTTTGGAGTCAGACAGACTTGGGTAATTCAAATATACTGGACTTCATCAAAAACAAGGACCTGCTACTGTTGTAACTTTCATCCTCTAGATTTTATTTAAAATAACTTTTGGCTCAAATACTACAGATTTGTAAAGAGCATTTTGCCTTTGTAATATTCTCTATGCTTATTACTATAGCTTAAAATGCCAGTGAAATAAACATGCAGTGATTTTAATGCCCCGGCAATTAGTGCCATGTAAGGTTAGAGTATCCAATGTCAAAAGAAAGACTAAATCGGTAGGCTCAAGATTCCTTCCTATAGGTTTCTTTTATCATTTTTCCTGAGGTGACATTCACTAACATCAAATCAATTATTTAAAAGTGTACAATTCAGTGGCATTTAGTTATTCACAGTGTTGTGCGACTACCATCTCTGTCTAATTCCAAAATAGTCTCATCATTCCAAAAGAAAATCCTGTACCCATTAAGCAGTCAGTACCCATTCCCTTCTCCCCCAGCCCCTGGCAACCACCAATTTGTTTTCTGTCTCTATAGATTTACCTACTCTAGATATTTCATGTAAGTGGAATCATATAATGTGTAGCCTTTTATATCTGGCTTCTTTCCTTTAACATATTATTTTTGAGGTTCATCAATGTGTAGCATATAGCAGTACTTCATTGTTTTTATGGTAGAATAATATTTCATGGTTTGGATACACCATATTTTGTTTATCCATTCATCCATTGATGTACATTTGGGTTGTTTCTGCCTTTTTTGACCATTGTGAATAGTGCTGCTATGAATATTTGTGTATGTGTATTTGAGTACCCATTTCCAATTCTTTGGGTTATATACTGAGGAGTGGGATTTCTGGGTCATATGATAATTCTGTGTTTGACTTTTGGGGGATGCTTTTGGCTTTTTTTTTCCAAGGGGAAAGACACAATCAAAGAAATGGGAGTTGAGAATTCATGTGAGCCATGCAGCCAACCCAATTTTTGTCTATCCTACTCAGCCAACCCTTTACCTTTCACCTCTTCTACCAGCAAAGAAAGATGAGTGCTGTGGGTCCCTTACACCTCTGGCCTCTGTCCCCTAGGGCTGTGTTTGGCTGTCCCTGGGAAAACTGTGAGGTGGTGCACCATCTCAGATCATGAGGCCAGTAAGTGCTCCAGTTTCAGTGACAATATGAAAAGAGTCCTTCCAGTGGATGGTCCTCACGTCACCTGTGTGAAGAGAACCTCTCACCTCGAATGTATCAAGGCCATTATGGTAAGTTGCAGCTGCCTACAGGAGAGTGGAAGAAAATCTATACTTCCTTTTTCTGGGGCTTGTTATTGTTTATTGCTTCAGAACAACTTTCTTCCCACAGGAACTAGACAATGCTTTAGACGAGAAAGAAATAAGCTGAAGACCTGAAAGTACAGGGACTGTGTGTAGAGAAAAATATAGGTGCTCAACATTCATTAATAGTAAAAACAGTAATAGTAATTAAATGACTAATAAAGAAGGATTCAGTAAAAATGCCTGCCATAAAGCAAAGCCAGAATTGCACTGGAAATCCATAAAGAGTCAGAAATAAACAAGAAGCTATAGTGTTACCGTTATTACTTAACATTGTTTTTGGAATTTCCCAGTAATGCAATAAGATACAAAATGCATATGATATAGAAAGACACAAATAAAATATCAATATTTTCAGATGATCGCATGCCTGGAATGTACAATGGGGTCAAGAAAAATATTACTATAATTATTTATTAATGAATAAATTAGTTTGGCAAAAGATAAACATATCACAATGTCATTGTTGTGTTTCAATGGTCATTAGTTGGGGGAAAGTTGCCCAAAATTGTGACTTATTTTCATTTAAAACAATATTCTGTAATTCTATTATATTATAATATATTCTATAATATAGTAGAAAAACATTTCAGGAAAAAAATCATAGGAGAGATCTGCAAGATTGTTATAATACAAAAGTCTAGAACAAATGAACAATATTTATTAATGAATTAAAACATATGCCATATTCCTAAATGGGAAGACTAAATTATCATATACTTGCATATTTTCCCAAAGAATAAGTTTAATATAATTTTCATCAAAATACAGTCTTTTTAAAAAGAATCAATTGAATAATTATAAAATCCTAAGAAAAAGCACATGGATGAGAATATAAATAGTATTATGAAAAAGAAAATTAGCAAGGGAGTGGCTGAGGCCTACCTGAAACTATAAAATATAAAAATAGCAGTGTTACAGAGATCAGGGTCCTAGTGTAGATGTAAGAGACCTGGAAGAGAACAAAATTCACACATTTAGTTACATACATTCATCCATCTACTTGTCTATGTGATATGATACAGATGTCAACTATGATCGATATCCAACATCAGGGCACTAGGGCCCTAGGTTTAATAAATTTAGGTAAGATACATGTAGATTTACATAGATATGTATGATAAGGCAAACTTTCTAAACAAATGGCTGAGAAAAGATTCTTTAGTTGGACAACTGGGTAACTATTTAGCAAAAAAAACAAGTGAAATGTTTAATCCATATACCAAAACAAGCTTTCAGTTTGACTCAATTTGACTAATATAGATAGACATCACAAGATAAATTGCAGAGGTAGATAAATTTGGAAATGAAAAATTATAAATCTCTGACAAAAAATTTTTTAAAGCCTTAAGCATCTAAAAATATATTCACCTCAGCTATGACAAAACACCATAGTGCAAAAACTAGATAAAGATGGCATTTAAATTTATAAGAAATGCTTAAGAATATCAAGCTATACACAAACCATTCACAGAAAAGAAATTGTAACTAATAAATAATATAAACCGTAAAGGAAAAGTGTTCATCCTTTTTAATAATCAAATGCAAATAAATGCAAATAAAGCCATTTCTTAAAGTAACAGTTTATACCTAGAAATGTAATAATATCTCTTAAATGATAGCATTTCTTTCTGGTAGGTTTCTGTGACATTAGGATACATTGCTATTGGCATTATAAATGATAAATTATGTCATTTCTGGAAAACAATTTGGAAATATTCAGTAAGAGTCATAAATATGCACACAAACTTATTTATTTATTTTTCTCTAATTCATGGAGAATGATTTGTTACAAGAATTTGACCTTACACAATCATGGGAGCAGGTTAAACTTCTCTATAACAGTACTGTCTTTGCATCTGCTCTTGGAGCTTGAGGAGGAGGCTGCCAGGAAGGGAAGATGTATGTAAAGTGGGGGAAGAGCAAGAACAATCTAGAACCTCAGTCTCGACCTGGAGCCCATGGGTGTGAACTGAAACCCATGTCTGTAATTGCTTCTGACCTTGATGGTGTTCCCTAGGCCCAGTGGCCTTCTTGTCCTTTTACCTTTATACTAACTCCTTCCTTTTCTCAAATTAATTTAAGGTGGGTTCTGATACACGCAACCAACAGAGTATTAATTATATATAATACATACATATGTAAATACATAAGTGTGAATACATGTGTAATAAAAAGATGGGATGGGGAAAAAGGAGGCAAGTATATAGAAATGCAACACTAAATTCAGAAAAAGCCTAGTTACTTCAAATGTCAATTAATAAATGAATTTAAAAAATGATTTCCATGGTGGGTTGAGAAATGATCCAATCTCATTTCTGAGAAGAGGCTGGGAGGTTGCTGCTTCTCACAAGAAGGAAGGAATGCTGGGCTGACTGACATACTTGAAGAGGGAATCCAGATGTGTGAGTGCAAACCATGACTTCTTATGGATAGAAATATTTGACAATTCACTCATTCACTTATCCAGCAAATGTTTATTGAACACTTACCTGTAGAAGGTGCTTCTCTGGGTACAGTAGGAACCTTAGAAGGAAATACACACACACACACACACACACACACACACGTGTCCCCACCTTGGTGGAGCTTACATTCCAAAGAGGAAGGCAAGCTGTAAACAATGAAAGTTTGTCAGGTGGTTGATAAGCGCTAAGGAAAAAACAAAGCCGGATCCAGCATTCATGCATGAAGTTTTAAGATACAGTTGTAGAGAGCCTCGATGAGAAGGTGACCTTTGAGCAAACACTGGGGAGGGAAAGAGGTCTGACCCATGCAAGTATCTATGGGTCAAACATCCCTGGCAGAGGGCTAGGTTAGGGGCTCCGTTCATGGTCTGGTCTCTTTCAGGCAAACGAAGCAGATGCTGTGACCCTCGAAGCAGGTTTTGTGCTTGAAGCGAGCCTGCCCCCCTTCAACCTGAAGCCTGTCGTGGCAGAATTCCATGGATCAAAAATTGGTGCGTTCTCCCTGGGGCCCCAGGTCTCTGATTTGACACTGCAGCCATCAGGGAGAAGTCAGGGTCTCTGTCAACATTGCACCTGAAGGAAACAGAATTGCTGGAGCTCTTTGGATCGAAGGAGGCTGTCATCCACACTGCCCCACAAGGGCTGGAATATTGACTCTCCCTGGGAAGCTGTGAACTGTGTGCATCTAGGTGGAAGTACCGTTGGTGCTGCTAGATAAGAGGGGGGCAGGGCTGTCTGGGGTCCATTGCCTACCCAGTGGGGCTGCACCATTGGAAGGCCCATCTCTGGAGACACACAGACCTGGACAGGCTCTTCCCTGTGCTGAGTCCCCTGCAGGTGCTACATGGGTCTGTGAATGCCATGAAGAGAGGTTTGCAGGGGGCGGGGGGGGGGGTGAAGAATAAGGCTTTGCCTCCTCTCCATACTTGTCCGTTAGTGTCATCAGTGTGTGTGTGAGCACAGCCCACCTCAATCAGACTCCAACTTGCAGAGCCCTGGGAAAATCCTGGGGTCTCCCCTGCATCTGTCCTCTCAGGCCTTCACCATTGTGTCTGGGCTGCAGACGGAGAAGCAGAGAAGGGAGAAAAGCCTTTGGAGAGACAGAGTAACATCACAATGACTGGGAGCTGAAGATCTCCCTGAGAAAGCCCTGTAGGCCCTGTAATAGCTGGTGGCCCCCACCCCCATGTCTCTACTGGCTTGGAGGGGCTGGCAGAAAGACACTAGTGTTTATTGCCTTGAAAAGCCCCCCCCGTTAATCAAAGGCTTTTTTCTTTTCCTTTTCTACCTGTTCACCAGGGAATGGTGGAGATCCTAGGATTCCCTAAAGTTGGCCGTTGCGCACACTCTGGAAGATGAGCTAGTGACAATGTGGTATCTTCCTTTAGCCCTTCTTTCTCTCTGCTCCTTTGCAGATCCACACACCTCCCATTATGCTGTGGCTGTGGTGGAGAAGGGCAGCGACTTCCAGCTGAAACAGCTCCAAGGCAAGAGGTCCTGCCACACGGGCCTAGGATGGTCGGCTGGGTGGTACATCCCCATCCAGATACTTTTTCCTTCTGACTCTGTTAAAGAAGGTAAGCTGGCTAAGGCTGGGTGCCCTCAGGCAGGGCTCCTACTCCAGTCGCCCACAGGGATTGTAGTGGGGCCATACAGTCACTATCAGGCGTATCAGTTTCATGAACTGCAAGATGGGGTGAGGACAACCTGCTTCAAATGTGGTTAGCTGGGTTTGCTGCAGCAGCAACACCTGGGAACTGGCAGCTGAGTCTTCTCTCAGCAAAGGTACCTTGGTCTCTGAGCTCCCGACAGCCCCATACTCATTGTAACCCCGGTGGTTTGGCTTGACAGGGAAGGTCGCTTAGGCTCACGACAAACAGGAACTCCCTCTGGCTTCCCAGGAAGGCTCACTAGGGATTATAGCCATACCACCAGCAGTCAGGCCTTTGTGCCTGGGGTAAGGGCTTGGGATGGGGGCAAGAAGGGAGGAGTGGCCTGGAGCCATGATTTTTGTGTGTGTGTACTTCTTGTTCAGTTATGATGAGCCAAGCGAGCCTAGGGAGCCCCTTTAGCCCTTGGGAGATGATGGCCAACTCTTTCTGTGCTTTTGAGGCCTGCCGACTCTGCAGCATTCATGTTTTGCCCGTAATAGGGACAGGGGGCTGCTGGGGTCAGATGGAGTGCTATAGCCTGGGCCACAGCTCTGACTCTGTGTGCCCTTTCTTGGGGCCTCCCTCGCCTCAATGTCAGACACTGCTGGATGTCTGTGTGAAAGCTTGTGAGGTGGCTGTTGGCACACCCCCTTACCCACCACCGGGCAAGTTATCCCAACCCCCTCCCATGGATTCCTGGAAGAGAAATCCCCACAAACTACCACAGCCCCTGGACCCAAAGGGGAGAGGAGTGGGTGGGACCATGTCCTGAGGTAAGGAAGGATGGTCGGAGGTCCCGCAGTGTCTGGGGTGCTGCCTGCCGCACTTAGAGCCTCCGTGGTGGGTTAACAAGGTGAGTGGTCCTGGGGTTGCAGCTTGGTTCCGTGTAGGTCAGCCGCCCTCGTGTCTCGAGTGGGCAAGCTAGGAAGCATCTGGTGGGCTGGAGCCCCAGGCTCACACATTAGTGTGATACCTGAACACACGGGGACCCCGGGCCATCCACTTCCTCAGCCACGGGCACTGTCGGCCACCTCTGCTCATCTGCTTCCTCAGGATGGTCCTGGGAAGTGTGTGCAGCCTCACGGGCTCTCACATAGGGCCACTCACTCCCACACATGTGCACCCTGGAGGCCCCCAGCCGGTTCATGCCCTGAGGTCCCTATGTCTGTGTTAAGCAGCCACAGCAGAAATGGCCCAGTTCTTCTCCGGCAGCTGTGTACCCTGTGCGAACAGGGAGGTGTTCCCCAAGCTGTGTCAACTGTGTGCAGGGAAAGGGACAAACAAATGTGCCTGCTCCTTCCAGGAACCATACTTCGGCTACACAGGCGCCTTCAAGTGAGTGGGGACACCCCCCCAACCCCCCACTCCTCCTCACTCTGATGGCAGGGAGTGGACAGGGCCTGCCCAGACCACCCAGGCTGTCAGTGTGAAACCCAGGGTCCTGAGTGCCTCCCGTGGCCTGCCCTCACTCCTAACCATCCTGAGGAACAGTCTTCTGTGCGGGAGCCCCTCTTCTCTCCCTACAGCCTAGGGTCTGTATGTTGCCCTCCTGGACCAAGGAGGGCTGAAGGGACAAAACCTATCTGGGACTCTGGGATTCACAGACACAGGCTTGGGCTTCCAGCTGGGCCAAAGGCCAGGACCTCCCCAGCTTGCTTCTTTCTCCCTGAGCATCTCCCTGTGTCGTGAACATGTGCCTGCCTCTCTCCACCTCCCTCTCAGCCCCCTGCAGGCACCTCTCCATGTCTGTAAGAGACAAGGCTACTGCTCAAAACCAGAACAAAACTGTCCAGGAATCCAAGGCTATCCTGTTTTTATCCTCTGTATTAGGCTTTATTAAAACAAACAAACAAACAAACAAACAAAAAAACCCAAAACCCAGTCACTTTAGGTTGCCTTTGAAGGGGAAGGTGAGGGTCCTGCCCTCACATCATCCCTCCCTACAGTTACCTGGGTTGTGATTTACAGAGCTCCTGCCTGCTTCAGACCCAGGTTGGCTGTGGGAGTACAAAGGCCCCTCAGATAGGGCCATGGCCTCTGAGGACACACTGAAGCCTGGGCAACTGTGGGCAAATCCCTGTGAGCCAGTGGTCAGGGCAGAGCCTCAGAGGGGTTGCATGGGGCAGGGGTGAGCTCAAATCATGGGGATTGGCCTGACGCCTGCTGTCCTGTTCCTCAGGTGTCTGCAGGATGGTGTAGGGGATGTGGCCTTCGTGAGGCATATGACAGTGTTTGGTAAGTGCTGGATGGAGGAAGAATCACATGAACCATACTGGCCAGGGCAACTGGTTCCTGCCTGACGGTTTCCTTACATCTAGAGATGGGTGATGACAAGACTGTTAATGAAATGGGAGAGTTTCTGAACTACTAGTCTCCTCAAATAACATACTACATCCACTAATGGCAAGATTTAAAAAAAAAAAAAAGGAGACCTTCTGTACAAAAACCATTTCTGTTATTCGTACTTTGTTTAGTGTTCAATTTGTTCAGTCTGTAAATCTACTAAACAAATTTTCTGAACATTTAAAGAGTATTTACCAATTAATAAAATGAGGCAAGTTTTAATAATTCAATTCTCTTAGCCACTGCAATATCCATTTCAAATGTAATCACACTCTCCTGAATGCTTCATTGTAAATGGTTCCTAAATCCTATAAATACCTTAAATAAACAAATTATAATGATTTCAGAACTTATTAGCACATCTTCAATTAGATGTGTTGCAAAAGCATTATTACTGTGGACAAAAATATATTTCTTTTTTTCTTTTTTAAAAACCTTTCAAGAGTTTTGGCCAATTTATCAGAAAGAAAGAAAAAAACAACATAAATCTCGGACAAGTTGAAGTTACAGAATTTGGGTTTTGTTTTGTAACCAATTAAATTTCTATCAGATACAGAATACACTTGTATCACTCAAGATGTTTAAACCAAATGTATATTCAGTATGCTAGGTTCATTTTTGAGATAAATGTCTGCTACCTCAAGGGAAATTTAAAGTCATCACTTTTTTTTTTTTTTAATGGGCCTTAGTTCCTTACAACCTAGTGTCTTTTTCTAGCATGAAATAGGAGCTCGGTGTCCTTTGTTCCCTTGTTCAGCCATTCACAATTCACTGTTCCTTCATTATTACACACTGACCTGGTTTGTTAGCATTTTGGCAATCGAGGACTATCTTATTATCAGTACATTTAATTAGTGGGGTCATCTAGGGGTTTCGTCTCCCAGAATCAAGTTGTTCCAGATCCTTGTCCTTGTTGTTTCTTCCGGTCGCTCCAGTGAGTGTGGTTATGTTGCCAGTGGGCAGCATCTTCTAACACTCACCCTGACGTGTTTGAAAACATCTTCACTTTCTGAAAACACCAGGTTGTCCCAGAACGTCCTGGTTTATTTTTGCTGAAAGTCACTTGTCCGCTAATATATAAGATCACTCACTGCCTTCTAAGTAGCAGTTTATGACTACCCACCAGGCTTTTGGGGTGCAAACGAGTGTTGGTGGGGAGCTACTTCCACCACTGGACCCCTGAGTGACTGATGTCGAAAAGTTCTTTCTTTCTGAAGCTAGGAAATCATATTGATTCTTTTAATTTAAATCTGACATTACTAAATCATTTAAATTTTTTCTTTCAATATAAAGATTTAAAGAGTATTTTCTCTACAACATACATAACTAAACTTGTAACCATTCACAAGAACTCTAATTGTACTCCTTCTCTTTCAGTATGAGAATATATGAACCCCACAAACCTCTATGAGTTTGCTAGGGCTGCGATAACAAAATACCACAAACTGGGTGCCTGAAGCAACAGCAATTTGTCTCACAGTTCAAGAGGCTAGAAGTTCAAGATCAAGGTGTCGGTAGGGTTGGTTCCTTCTGGAGGTTCCTTGCTTCTCCCCTGGTTTCTGGTGGTTTGCCGGCCATCTTTAGTATCTGTTGGCTTGTAGTCACATCACCTCACTCTACCTCTTTCCCTTCACATGGCATTCTCCCTGTGTGTGTGTGTGTCCTTTGTATCAGGACACCAGTCATACTGGATTAGGGGCCCACACTACTCTAGTATGACCTCATCTTAGTTAATGACATCTGCAATGACTCTTTTCCAAGTAAGGCAACATTCTGAGGTACTGGGGATTCAGATTTCAACATGGGAATTTTGGGGGGACACAATTCAACCCAGAATACCTTTGAATACCTAGACCAGGGGAACCAAAGAGCCTGTTTTCCTCACAAGGTTTTCTGGTCTTTGTACCTATAGAGTACGCTGACTGGGCCTCTAGGCCTCCTTCAACTCTTCCCCCAGCTTTCCCCAGCAAGCTCTGCCTCCAGGCGGGTAGTGCCACTGTAAGAGGGGGACCCGGGCTGTCCTAACATGGCGATGCATCAGCCTCACACTGGCTGACAAGTCACTTTCAGTCTCTGAGTCTAAGTCTCCTCATCTCTAGAATGGGATCAACCTATTACTGGCCTCCCCTGGTTGGTATGAGGATTAAATGAAACAGAGCATGGAGAGCCTTCGGGACAATCTTTGCTGTGCTGTGAATGCTCAGAAAATATCATCATCCATATCAGCAGAGTTACAGATATGTGGGGATACCTGGAAGGGACCTGGGCAAGCGTGCCTCCCCAACCTCGTGTCTATCTGCAGTAGGAACCAGTCATTTTGCCTCCTGAGGCCTCGGGTTCCTCATAGGTATAAAATGTATTTGGAAAAGATTCTCTTTCAGTCTCTTTGGGTTGTTAAAAAAATTATTAAAGGAGACAAATTAGGTGATACAAACAAACTTGAACATTTCACGAAGTGGACAGTCTCGTTTTGGAGAACTGCAAAATGGGGCAGAAGGCAGGGAGCTTCTATAGGACAAAGAAGAGGAAGAGACAAACACAAAGTATCTGATTGGCTGGGGCCACACAGTCAACCTTGTCTGGGGTGAGAGGCCCAGAGTTGGCTTTGTGTTTGGGGACTGGCTGACTGAATATACTTTGCTTCTGGTCAAGTGGAGCATTTATAAGAACACAAAAGTCATCTAGATTTTGGCTTGCTTAAGTGGCACCTGGGCAGGAGCAGGGCCTAGAAAGTTATTACAACAAGGTCAAAGAGTCTGTGATTCAGGGAGCAGCAGGGACCACAGTTCATGGTTCTGCCTGCAGTCGGCTCATCTGGGCTTTCCTCCTGCAGAGAACCTGGCAAACAGGACTGACCGTGACCGGTATGAGTTGCTCTGCCTGGACAACAGCCGGATGCCTGTGGATAAATACAGGGAGTGCAACCTGGGCCTTTTCCCTTCTCATGCCGTCGTGGCTCGAAACGTGGGGGGCAAAGACGACTTGATCTGGGAGGTTCTCAACCAGGCCCAGGTATTCCCACCCTCCATCCTCACTTCCTGCTTTATGTGTGTATGGAGGGGTCCCTGCTTAGATTTGGGGCATTTTCTTACATTCCCTTCTAGCCACTCTGAAAGTTCTTTTGGGTATCAGACAGGAACCATGTCATACATCATCTGCTTCACTGAGAAACCACTCAGTCTGTGTGTTATAGACAGCAGAGGCCATGAACCCCTCACTTGGCGTCATCGACTCCATGGACCAAAGACTCCATAGAAGTGCCTCATTGCTCCATTTTTTTTTCTTTTCAGTTCTAAAGGGGTCCTCAGGATGTGGGGTAGATGCCCCTCCTCCATGGAGTGTTCCCCTATTATCTTACTGGCGTGTGATCCTGCCCTCCTCACTTCCCTCAGTGGCAGGTTCCCTGGCCACGAGCATATCTCTGTCTGGTGTTGGTGGCGGCCTCTCCTGGCCAGCTGTCATTCATTCCCTGTCCCTTCTCTATTAGTGCTCTCTGCTCAGCACTGGGGATTCAGAGATGAAGTGGACAGGGACTTGCCCTTGAGTTGCTTCCAGATGTGTGGGGGACATGATGAGTACACATACAAATTATCACCAGATGAAATGGTCCAACCTTGGGCACATGGATTGTGTACTTTGTAGAGGACAGGAACTGAGTTGCAGGGTATATCTAGGAAGATTCTTGAGCCCTGGGAAGAAAGCTGTGCGTACCCCTAGGAAGGCGGGTATTTGCCAGGGAGGGCAGCAGGTGACATTTCACGTAGAGCCACCACAAAAGCAAAAAGCAGACAGACATTGGAAAGAACTTGGGGATAGGTGCCATAGTCAGGAATGGCTTTGGGCCAGTTAGTGGGAGTTGTAGACAAAGGGCCCTTCCATTTTTTGGAGGCCAGAAAGTTCCCAGCTGGTCCTTCAGTGGTAGGCCTGAGGTCAGAGAGGAGCCCAGGGCTCCTGACCTCCAGGCTCAGTGGCAGATGTTGGACCACCAGCCGTTCTGGGATGAAGGCCACCAGAGCTACTTGGGACAGTCGGCTGGCCAGGAGTGAGGCAGACTTCACTGCCTGCCCTGTGGGAATATGCCACTGGAGAAGGGCAGCTGCCTGGCACGTGGCAACCATACCTCTTGGTGTGGAACTCGGGGAACCGCCCCTGGCTGTTTCCGTGAAGCTGCTTATGGCCAACTAGCTGGGATTTGGGTAAAGCATTGCTGGAGAGAGGCAGGAGAACCCTGGGAACCACAGGGGTTTTGGTGGGCTGGGTGCTTTGTCTTAGCTCTCGGGTGTTCATATTTTCTCTCTTCCAGTTTTCCTTGTCTGGTTTTGGGTTTGTTTTCCCTTTCCCTTGCTACGCCAGCTTCCCTCCTTCTCTGTTTCTTTTATCCTTTGAACAGGAACATTTTGGAAAAGACAAGTCGACAGAATTCCAGCTCTTTGCCTCTCCTCATGGGAAGGACTTGCTGTTTACAGATGATACCGATGGGTTTTTAAGAGTCCCTCCTAAGATGGACGCCAAGCTATACGTGGGATACGAATATTTTGCTGCCTTTCAGCATCAGAGGATAGGTGTGTAAAGTCCTGGGAGGAAAGTAGAGCAGGAAAGCCAGAGAGGCTTTCCCAGTGCCTGCAAGCGTCACCTCACCCAAACTTCACTGGCCCATGGAGCCCAAGGGAGCTACCAGCTGCACTGGGTTAGTGAGAGGATTTTCTGCTGAGCTGGAGAAAAGGCCTGAACTATGAGATCACAAAAGGTTTTTGAAGATCTTCAGATTACAGTCAGCTTGAAGTAATGATGGTTCTTGCTCCTGTGTATTAACCAGGGTCACCCCACCCAGTGGCAGGTCTATATGACAGGGAAAAATAGCCCATCCCAAACTGAAGTGGGGACATGTCCTCTGCCACTACCAGGAGTGAAACTAGAATTTCAGAGGGTATTAATCCAACCCTTGCCTTCCTCTAGATCCCTATGGTTCATTTCTTCTTTCCTTTTGTTTTCATTTAGTCAACCAATAGTTAATGAGCATCCACAAAAGTCACTGTGTTAGATGTGGGCATACTGTGGTGATCAGACATTGGGTGAGGGGGAGAGCAATCAGGCTCACCCAAAGGAGAACACATGACTACCAACTGGGGAATGCTACTGTTGGGAGAACCCAGTCCTGTCAGAGCAAACTCTGGAAGGTCCTGACCTTCTGGTGCTCAGAAAGTGTTCCCCTCAGGAGGATATACTCAAGGAGGTGAGGTCAGGAGGGTGGGGAACTGCTCTGCCTTCACTACTCTTTCTGAGTACCGAGCTCCCCATTTCTCCTGGAGGGTGATAGACAGGAATGAGCAGTGATATGGGCATGAGACATATCCACTCTGCTGCTGTCAGTGAGGGCCCCATTGGACAGCCATTCTGTAGCCAGTGGCACTAAGCTCCCAGACACATCTTCGGACTTCTTTTGGATGCCTGGCTTTTCTCCACCTGTCCTAGGTGTGGAAGACACCCAGAGGGTGCTGTGGTGTGCAGTGGGCCACCATGAGAGGGTCAAGTGTGATGAGTGGAGTGTCCTAAGCGGTGGTGCCTTACAGTGCACCATAGAGGAGACCACTGAGGACTGCATCGCCACCATCGCAGTAAGGAGGGCCCCACCTCCACAGCTGGGCTTGGACACCCAGACATGTGGCCTCTCTGCCCTCTTCCCATGTCTTCCTGTTGGCCATGAGGCTAAAATGCACCCACCCTCCAAAACCCCACCCAACTCTACTGAATGTGCCCCTGTAGCTCAGGCTGGCCCGAGACCCAGACTCCTTAGGTCAGCTCTGGAGTCCTGGGAGCTCTGAGTATTGTCCTGCCCAGGAGATGCAGGAAGGGGGGTGACATCCCAGGGGGTGGTCAGGGCCCCTGTGGATTGTGAAAGCAAATCAACCTCAGTCCTTGAGTTGTAAATATAATTTTTTTTCTGGTGATAAAAATATTATATGCTGGAAGTGAAATGAAAGATAAGATCATTCACAACTTTCTAACTCAGAGATCATTACCACATAATTTCTGAGTTATGAAGTTGTGTCATTAACTTTCCATTTCTCTATGAGCAGATAATATTTTTGTGATTAGAAAAATAAATTTACAATAAAAGACTAAAAAATTGACAAACTCAGGAGACACACATTCTTCTTTAATAAGATCTTTATTTTTTTTTTTAAGATTTTATTTATTTATTTGACAGAGAGAGACACAGCGAGAGAGGGAATACAAACAGGGGGAGTGGGAGAGGGAGGAGCAGGCTTCCCACCGAGCAGGGATCCCGACGTGGGGCTCGATCCCAGGACCCTGGGATCATGACCTGAGCCGAAGACAGATGCTTAACGACTGAGCCACCCAGGCGCCCCTAAGATCTTTATTTTGATAAACCTTCCTGGGGCTAACCCATACACTAAGATCTTGCAATTTATACAGTCTCCTAAATGTGTCAGTTTTAAGGATTAGATGAATTTGAGTGCTCAGGACATTGCCTAGCATATAGTATGTAGTCAGTAAATGTTATCTATTGTTGTTATTTAAAGTCAGCACAGTAGGTGCACTTTCTTAGGTAATGGAATATTCATTTAAAATGTTTTTAATGGCTGCACAATATTCCACCAATATTTCTGCCTCAATTTATTGAACTGATTTCTCAATGTCTACATTTGAATTATTTCCAAATCCTTTGCTATTGTAGATAATATGGGATTGAAGATTTTTGTTCTATAACCTCAATATTTCTGGGTATATCTTTAATAATAATAATAGCTAATATTTTGGAAGTTACTTACTATGTGCCAAACATGTTTATGAGCTCTTAACTTGCATTAACTCATTTATTTATTTATTTTAAAGATTTTATTTCTTTATTGTCAGAGAGAGCGCACAAGCAGGGGGAGCGGCAGGCAGAGGGAGAGGGAGAAGCAGACTCCCCGCTGAGCAAGGAGCCCGATGTGGGACTTGATCCCAGGCCCCTGGGATCATGACTTGAGCCAAACGCAGATCCTTAACCTATTGAGCCACCCAGGCGTCCTGCATTAACTCCTTTAATCCTCACAAAGAGCCTATGAACCCATTTTATGGATGAAAAAGAATGTGTATAGAATAGTTTTTAGGTATGTGTTCTTCAGAATAGTCTGATTCAGGAGGCCCTGTGGTATACTGGTTATGAGCAGAAGCTAAGGAATTAAACTGTTTAAGTTTTAGTTTTAGTGAGCATCTATTGGAGAAATTCTTTAACTTGCCTCTGCTTTACTTCACTAATGTATAAAAGGGGGAAGAATTATAGTACCTACCTTATTGGATTTTGTGAGGAATACATGAGGTAATCACTGTAAGATGTTTAGAAAGGGCCTGGCACATAGTAAAGGCTTGGTAAGTTTTTGTTTGTATAGTTGCTACTGTTTTAAGATAGATTTCTAGAAGGACAGTTAATGGGTCAAAAGCCAAGAGTGAGTATGTATCTGTTTGTTTTTATCTCAATGATCTTATCTATCACTGTAAGTATACATTTTTTGCTCTGTTGTTGGAAAATTTCATTGATTAAAATAAGTTAATTATTAATGAATTATTTAATTAGAGAAATTGTTTATTGCAAGTCTTTGTTGTGCCAGGGCTCTGAGTATAGTGCTAATGGGATTATGGGAACAGAATTGAACTCCACCATACAGAAGAAGAAATTCCATAGAAACATAGTAAATACAGGGGCGCCTCGGTGGCTCAGTTGGTTGAATGTCCAGCTCTTGGTTTTGGCTCAGGTTCTGATCTCGGGGTGGTGAAATTGAGCTCCATGTTGATCTCCGCGCTCAGCTTGAGAATGTGCTTGAGATCTCCCCCCCTTCCACACGCCCCACCTCCCGCTCCTCCCCATTTGTACTCTCTTTCTCTCAAATAGATAAATAAATAAAATCTTTAAAAAAAAAGAAACATAGTAAATACAACCCCTGAGTCTGGCCATGTAGATTGTTGAGTGACAATGGGTCACAAAGAAAACGTGGTGAGGGCATGTCCAGTACTCAAGATGGGTCTAATGAGAGGTCAGAGATGCCAGGGAGCAGGATCTGGGTTGGGCACTTATTCCTGGGTCAACATGTCCAGTTTTCTAAACCCTGTGGTGAAATGGCAGAAGTTTTGGGTGATCCATGATTTGATGAATCAAAAGGACATGTGACATAAAGCCAATGAGAGATACCTCTGAGAGTCAGTGAGACAGGAAATGGCCTCACTGTTGTGCTACTGATTTATTTCTTAACTTCAGAAAGGAGAGGCTGATGCCATGACTTTGGATGGAGGCTTCATCTACACAGCGGGCCAGTGCGGTCTGGTGCCTGTCCTGGCAGAGAACTACAGTAAGTGGAAGGGGTGCCTGTCAGTGTTTTATTTTCTCTGGGCCGTGGACATAGAAAGAAGGAGAAATGATCCAGTTCATTGTTGAGATAATAATTAACTACGGGTAGTGTAAGAGGCTAGCAGATAGTATCCTCCTTCTCCAGAGTCAGAGCCAATGAAGATACGGACACAGGAGTTAGCCAGAAAGAGATGAAAAGAGGTATTTATTACTGAAAGGGTGATATTGGAGGCCATGGTACAGAGCTGGCTTCAAGGCTTGCCAAATTGCCCTGGAGTTAGAGTTACCCACTAGTTCAGGAGAACAGGTCTGTCGGCTTACCCTATGGCTGAGGGTCCAGGAGAATGCATATTGTCATAGAGCTTCATCGAAAAGATCTAAACTACCCTCTCCCCACTCTCTTCAATAAAGAAAGGAGGGGCTGAGCCACATGTGCCTCACTCAATACTTTTGCTAAATTTACTAGTCCGAAATTAACTCACCCCAGCTGCCCTCGAAGGTTGAGTGGTGAGGCTACAAGGTCATGTTCTTCAGTGGGGATCCTTTCACATAAAAAAATAAAGCTGGGGAAAAGGGGATTTCACCAATATAATTTATTAAGCACCTCATCTGCTAGGCAGTGAGCAAGAAACCATACATTATCCTTCAAAACAAAACAGCTCTGTGAAGTAAATAATGGTAGCTCTGTTTTACTGATATAAAAACTAAAGCTTGGAGAAGTTAAATGAGGTGTCCAAGGTAGAATGAAGACTGTATCCAGGTTTTTCTGACTCCATGGACTGGTTTTTTTCCCCTCCAACATGGCAAGAATATAATGATTGCCTACCACAGTCCAGAGCTCTGAGGGGAAGAAAGATGTCAGGATGACTTGAATCACATAGCCAATGCAAGAGATCTTTGTCAAGATCTTTAGTGGTCTCTGCCCCTCTTCAAAGGGCATCTCATTTTCTTTCTCTGTAACTCCCTGAATGCTGGGGAGATTCTGGGGTGGAACCTAATATTCAAATGGCAAAGTTCAGGGAGAGAGGAGTTAAATGGGCCTGCAGAATCTTGGCTTGTTGATAACCAGTGACAAACTTCTTAGCTGGTGTTTCTTATTTTATTCCTCACTCTTGAGATTGAGAAGCTCATGACTTTGGATTGAGTAATATGAGAGTTTAATGCCATGTATCCCGATTGTTTTTCTTTTTAGTGCCTAAGGATGGGTCTACGTGTGTAAATACACCTGTGGTAGGTGAGTCAGAATCAGTAACACTGGGGCTCAAAGGTAAAGGCCATCATTGGGGAGAGGGTGAGGAGAGTCTTCAAAATGAAGCAAAGTTACTAGAGTTGTAAACAAAACAAAACAAACAAACAAAAAAACAGCAAGAAGGAGGATGAGCTATCACCACTACAGCTTATTGTTAAAGAGCAAATCTGTCATGAAGCTGTGGTGATAATTGCTGTTTGTGGGGTTCTTTACCGGCAACAAAGGACTCCTGCTTGCACTATTCCCGTTTACTCTCCTCAGCAATCCTCTAGGATGTGGGCATCATTATCCCATGTTGTGTAGATGGGGAAAGTGAGGCCCAGGGCCACACAGCCAGGGAGTGGCTGTACCTGGGCTTGAGAAGAGGTGGTGTGACCGGAAACCCCTTGCCCTTCCTGACGCACCACCTTACTCCTTGTCATATGCTGCCTGCCCTTCTCTGCACCAGGAGGCAGGAGCCCACTTCTGACACTTCTGGGCCAAGTGGAGGCTTCACTATAGGAGGAGAGTCATAGATGCTCTAATGAAGAGGAGGGGGGAAATGAACTCGACCTTTTAGCTTTCAGCCAGCTGATTTTAATAGCGGAGGAGTCGATCTTGTCTTTAGAATAGACCAGGTGACAAGTTCTCCCATCTGTATCTGTTCCTGAAGTACCTAATCTTGGAAAACAGAGCAGTGTTTCTCAATCTAGTGTAGCGCCAGGACCGGCTGCATCAGCATCAACTAGGAATTTGTTGGAAATGAAAATTCTTGGGCTCCACCCAATCCACTGAGTCAGAAACTCCAAGGATGGGGCCACTGCTCTGTGTTTTAACAAGCCCTCCAGCTGATTCTGATGCACATCGGGGTTTGAAAACAACTGTGGGGGAGGATTCTGAGATGAAAACAGATGCTCACTTGGGTTTGGAGTTTCTTATGGGACAGGTAAACTGGGGGAAGTGGGTGGGTGGGTTTGGACCACCACCGCACCAGCAGCAGCTCTGGTACCCGCTGAGCGCAGGGCCGCAGAGGCCCTGCAGGCCCATGCCCCACCAAGGCCTCTAGAGTGCAAAGCTGCTCCCCTGCAGCAGCTCCCCTCCATGTGCAACAGGACCCAAGCCCTAGGATATGCTGTCCCCGCCCCCTCTGCTTTTATGGCTAACAGTCTTCAGTGAGCTGTGTCTTCATCCCCAACCCGAACGGCTGGCATTTTGTCAGCCATGCAGTCTCTTGAGTATGGAATACGTGAAGTCAGAAAGAACTCCGCTTCAAGAATGGTTGACATTTCCAGGAACTGCAGTATATGCAAATGCAGGTCAACAAAGATGCTTAGAAGACAGTTCAGGGTGGCTGGCTGTGATGGAGAAGGTTAGATTTGAGTAGAGACAGAGAGGGATCAACTCCAAAGACAAAGACACACACACAACACACACACACACCCGATGGCAATAATTAATGCCATTTGTGCAGAATTAGTTACACCTCCAGAAAGGTACTGTAACAGTATTTGGCTGCCAGAACGGTGTAATAGAGCACAGTCTGGTAAGCAAGGGCTTGCCCTGGCCTCAGGAGAATCTGCCTCACTGAGAGGGGGGCTCTGGTACTGCTTGTGCCACCAGCTGCGTGGCCGGAAACCCAGCAATGTAACCTCCCCATCCTATCCTAATGTACCATGTGCCCATATTAGCACATCTGATCCCCCCGAAAGCCCCCTGGATGGGTATCAGTGTCGCCATTTTACTGAGGAATAACTGGCAAGGCAAGTCTTCTACCTGCCATGTTGACTTCCAATTTTTCCAGGCTTGAATATACAAACCCGAACCATGACGGCAAGAAAGGGAGTGTAGAGGGGAGGGGGGGTTCGGAGTAGTGGTGGAGGACCACATTCCCTTCTAGTTCTGAAGATTTAGGATTCTAATCTTCTTATAAATTCTGCTTTACTGTTTAGGCCTCAGTCAATAAGTACAATGCAGTTACAGAGTATTGGGATAGGAATATATCAAATATCAGTGGTGTTCCCGTTAGAATCAAGAACACAAGAAGAAGGCCCACTCTCACCAAAGACACTTGGTATTACTTTGGAAGTGAATGCAGGATGATTTAAAAGATCAGAAAAATATTTTTAATATTGGAGAAAAAAGAGATTAAATTGTCACTATTAGAAAATGATGTTATCATAAATCTAGAAAATCAGAGACTTTAAAAAAGAAGTTATTAAAGCTCTTTCTTTTGGATTTCAACAAAAGTATTTCTTTTTTTTTTTAAGATTTTATTTATTTTTTAGAGAGCGAGCGAGAGAGAAACAGCATGAGAGGGGAGAGGGTCAGAGGGAGAAGCAAGCTCCCCGCTGAGC